ACAGGAGAAATTGTGCCCCTAGTGCAAGACATGATTAATAAATCTAGAGAGGAGCTCAGGAACATGATGGAATCCCAACACAGGAAACAAATGGAATCCATAAAACAGGTGCAAACAGATTTCCAGGACATGAAAAACTCCACTGAAAGTCTACACAGCAGAATGAGCCAATGTGAGGACAGAATTTCAGATATAGAAGATAAAATTCCAATTAGTGACCAGGAAAAGAAAAATTGCTTCAAAATTATAAGGGAACATGAGAAATCAATCCAGCAGCTGCTAGATGATGCAAAGAAGAATAAAATAAGACTGACTAGACTCAATGAAGAAACAGGAGAGAGTGGAGATGACATAAAAAAATCTCTTCACAGAAACAATGGCAGAAAATTTCCCAAGGAGGGGAAAAGAGCTTGACATACAGATAAGTGACGCATATAGGATTCCAAATAGCCTTGATCAAAAAAAATCTACACACAGGCATATAATTGTTAAGATTCCAGAAACTCAACAGAAGAACAAAGTTCTCCAAGCAGTTAGAGAAAAGAAACAAATCACATACAAAGGAAAGCCAATCAGAATCACAGCAGACTTCTCAACACAAACTGTCAAGGCAAGAAGAGCTTGGAGTGACATATTCCAAACCCTAAAAGAAAACAGCCTCCAATCCACATTGATGTACCCTGCAAAACTATCTTTCAAAATGGATGGAGAAATAAGATACTTTCACGACAAAAAGCACCTGAGGAACTTCGTGAATACCAAACCAGCATTCCAAAAAATTATAGACAATATCCTAGGAAAAGACAATGAGGATCACAACTCCAGGAAGCCCAGGGGAATGAATCCATTGGACGTGACAAGAAATTAAATGTAAAGGAGGAGAATCCGACAAAAAGAAAAAGTCAGAATAATGATAAGTCAGTACATATCAGTTACAATCATCAATGTTAATGGTCTCAATTCACCATTCAAAAGAAATAGACTCACAGAATGGGTCAAGAAGCAAAATTCAACAAAATTCTGCATACAAGAAACACACTTCATTCAAAAGGAAACTCATAGACTGAAAGTTAAAGGGTGGAAAACAATACTCCATGTGACAGGAACCAGAAAAAAAGCAGGAGTAGCTATCCTCTTGGCAGATCAAGTAGATTTCA